ACTTCGCTATCAGCATGCCAGTGCATGTCAAGGTATGTTAGGCCGATGAACTACATAGAGAAATGCAGAAAAAGCACGGACCGCCACCAAGGGAGAAACTAACGTTGTCGTCGAAGAAAAAGTGGCGGACAGACACAACTAAGACGTGGCGATGTCAAGCATCAATGTGACAGGCAACTTGACGTTATGAGTCAATTGATAATTATTTTCATGCAAACGAATATGGTGAATCTCAATACGCGTCCAAAATTTGACTAATACTTTCCTTCGTACGCCGCGCTAACGGCTTAAAGAACTTGCTAGTGAGGAGATTGCAATGAATAGTAATGTTGCTAATAAAATAAATTAAATGAGACAAGGAGGAGCCAGCAAATGGCACGAGGCATCATAGCCAGGTAGATAGGCGTGTTCAAATAAGGATTAGTGAGGAGAAGGGAATGAGTTCCCGGCGCTGCTAACAAAATAAATGAAATCAGACAAGATGGAGCCAACAAATAGCAAGACACATAACCGGGTAGATGGTTATATACATGTCAGTCAAACAGTTAAATCGGGAAGATATCGAACTATGTGGCTAAAACGGAGGGCGAGATTCTCCCCCAACCATCACGCCGTTGCCATGCTCGTCATCATGTTCATGGTCATAGTGGGCAAAATGAAATGACAAAGGCCCAGTGGCGATTTGTCTTCGTTGGATGGACTCTACCTGTCTGCGTGAGCATTATTCTGGCCCAAGCAGCGGTATTCAAGCACCAGTGCGGATAAAAGCCCTACTGAACAATACTTTCACAAGCAAAGTGTGAATGCAAAGGTGGGCCCGCTTAAAGTCCCGTTCATTTGCGATGGAACGTAGCGGCCAAGAAGCCACCTGGCACTACTGTGCGGCAGGCAGGCAGGCCTATTGAAACTGACGGCACACACTATGTAAAACGACACGAATATCAACAGCCAACGGGGTACATGAACGGCTGGCATCGCGCAGCTAAAACTACGTCAAGAGACCAAAAGTCGCCCGTGAGCAAACTAGAGAAGCCCTTAAAGAGGCATTTTCGTGAGCAGCTCTTCTGGACCTCGGCTGACCAAGTCCATCCGGGTTTGCAAGGTCGAGGAGGGAAAGGAAGGCCCCAGAGCACACTGCGATCACCGACGCTACCCTGAGGGACGGCCAGGCCCGTGGCCCCCCTCTGACGACGCAGTGGAGCGGACTTCACGGCGCGCCGGGCGACGAGCGGCCCAACTTCGAAAAAAGCCGAAGCAGACGCCAAAGTAGCCAGAGAAAACGCGTGACGCGGCAGGCGAGCTCACCACCGAGCCTCGCTCAAAAGCAGGACATCGCGAAACGACCAGCACGGCCAGCCCCGGGAGCTGATGGGGAACGCCGGTGCTGGTGCTGGTGCTGGCGCAGGCGCTGGCCCGCGCCCGCGACATCTGCGGCGTCCGGCGCACCGACACACCAACGTGGATCTGCAGATAACTCACACACACACATGATCTGCGATGCGACATCGTCAGAGGTGGAACACGCGGGGGTACGGTCAAGTACGATTTGTGCAGTGAGGCGGCGTACAAAAGGACACGGCAGGACAACGGCACAACGGCATCAGCGGGTGGAACGGCACACAGCGGACGCCCCCAGCAGCGCCCCTTCTGGCACTGTCGGCGCGGTCCGCCCCTACCAAGCACGTGGCAATCAGCGGGGCTGCGGGGCCCAGCTCGCTCTCCCACCCGACCCGCCTCAGCCGCCTGTGTCTGGTATCAACGCACTCCTCCGCTCCTCTACCATCCTCCGCTCCTCTGCCCACACGAGCGGCGACCCTCTCACGTCTGTATTAAAATAGCATTTCACAGGAACAGTGACAAACGACCGCACCACGAAGGCAGGAGGTCGGGCACCGCGCGCTCACAGGATCCGACAGGCAGACCGGCGCACCAGCGGCGTGGCGTTCGGTGGCGCGCGGCGGCTGGAACTGGCGCGCGCGCCGACTGTACACGGGTCACGAGGCCGCACATAACGCCGGGGTCGCCCCCCTCCCCACCACGCCGGCGGCAGCCTGGGGCGCCAATACAATTCGTGACTGAAATCAACACCAGGCTACGCTCTTAATTTGTGACTAAGCTGATCACTTCGGCATCCCTCGTCGTTGGGGTAAGCGGCGTGGTTTGGTAAGAGCGCAAAACAAACTTTAAAACAACGCGATGGCGATATTCGCCACAGGGAACAGCGCATGTCTCGCCAGCAGGAACTGAACCAGCCTTCGGTTGGTTTACATCACGGACTGCTCGCGCTTCATGCCGTGATCGGCTGTTCACACAGCTGACACCGAGAGCTCAGCAACACATTCTAGTACCTTAGAACAACAACCCAGACCAACGGCGCACGAAACAGCAATAACATGTCACCTTAGAGGCTACATCAACAACGGCTTAGGATAGCTGCGACTAACCTTTAAAACGTTTCGATTGCGTGCTATATTGCACTTGTTTGAACCCCCGTCTTGCGGTCGGGACTAGACGCTCGATATGGCGGACCAGCAGGGGGGCGGTCCCGTCACCCGTTACTCGTCAGGGGGGCGGTTCCCGTTATGTGCGGCCCCGTTGCTTTCAATATTCACCGGATAACACAGACTTGACGGCCGGCGCCAGTGGCTTGCCGGCCGCCTCCACCACATCTTGCTGAACGAAGCACGCCGCGCGTCTCGGGCCGCCCCTCCCGGTGACGTCACCGCCCGCTAAAGTGACGTCACGGCCGTCCGCGACCGCTCGGAAACAATATACCCGTACTGCGCCGAGATACAACGCACAACCGGGATGCGGCACCGCGGGACTCTGCGCGCAGACTCCGAGGCGGAGTCATCGACTCGGAGTCGGAGTCGGTCGTGGCGCTTCCCCAAGCTGGGCAACGGGAGCAGGCACTCCATGATGGCTCGTGGGCGTTTGGCCCTGTCCCCAACGCCCGCAGACACCCCTGGACGTCTGATATCATTGTGACGCAGCACCACGCAAGGCGCCGCCGGCAACGCCAGTAAAAAATCCCGTGCTTGTATCGGATGACGTCACAAAGACGTCATCTCGACACCAATCCTAGCCGGCACAGTGAGATCGCTTTTAAATTGTCCGCACAGGCACTCGCACAATATGGCCGACTTGGCACCGAGCCAGAACGGAAGCATGACTAGCGAGGCCTCCTCTGTGCGCGAGAAGACTGATAAACTAGACACAAACATTCACTGTCCGCTAACGATGCTAGCGACACAAGCACGCGCACAGAATTTCGTGGGAAGTCGATCACAACTCCCCGAGAACGGTCACGCTTGCCAAGTCCACCCGGACGGGACGGTTTTGACTGGTCATTGACTGGTCATGACTGGTCATTGACTGGTCATGACTGGTCATGACTGGTCATGACTGGTCATTGCGGCTAAGCCATACAGGAAACCACCCGCCAGCGTGTCAGCCGCCGACACTGGCTAACAAGGACGCTGCGGACGCAGACGTCTGACTTTGCCCCGCGGCATCGACACGTGGCGCAGCGCGGCGCAGCAGCGGCGCGGCGAGAAGACCCTCAACGACACGGCCAACGACACGTATCACGTCACAGCGAACGACACTGTATCACAAGTAACGACGGCGACGCCCGACGCGCGCGGGTGCCGCACGCTCCCAGGGCGGTGCCGTTTGTACGTCAGCCACGCCAGATACCAGACACGGTCCGAGGGGGTTCGGGTGGGGGCCGCGCCGCGCGCCAGCCAGCAACGCCCCGTGGAAGCCGCCGCCGCCCGTCCCAGCCCCGCCCCTGCCCACCACCGGGCCTGCACTAGACGGAGCCGGACTGCGCCAGCGACGCCCGCCCGTTGGCAGCGGCGTCGCCCGCCAGTCGGCTCACATCAAAGCTGATCTTGACCTGCCCGGCCGCCGTGTTGACGTAGTCGACCACCTGGCCGCCGGCCGGCTCCGGCCCTGACCCGGCGTCTATCACCAGGCGGCCCTCGCCGGCCGCCAGCCCGCTCGACCGGCCAGAGCGACTCCTCGGCCGGCGCTGGCGAGCCGCAGGCGCTGGGCGCGCGCCGCTCGTACGGCGAGAGGCGCGCTGCGGCCGCCTCGCGCGCCTTCTCGCCGCGGCGCCGCTCCGGCGCCGCGGCCGGCGCCGCCTCGCTGCCGGCGCGCAGCCGTTCGGCGCCCGCCTCGCGCGCCGCCTCCGCCGCGCGCGCGCGCTCGCCGTCAGTGAACTCGCGGTAGGCGGCGCCGTAGCGTCCCTCCTCGACGGCGCGCTCCAGGCGGCGCCAGTGCTGGCTGCGCGCGGGCCGCCGGCGGCACGATGCGGATTAGATCCGGCGGCGCAGAGCGTGGCTTGTGCCCGTGCCCCCCGCCGCCGCCGCCGCCGCCGCCGGGCGCCAGCGAGCCAACTCCGGCCGTACGGCGATGCGCCGCCGCTCGGCCGGTTCGGCGCTCTGCACCACGGTCGGTATGCAGCCGGTCGGGAAACGGGTAGCCGGGGTCGGCTGGCGGCGACGGCCAGGCCCTGCCAGCTCCGCCCGCCGCCGCCGCCGCCGCCGCCGCCATCGCCGCCGCCGCCGCCATCACCGCCGCCGCCCGCCGCCGCCACCACCCCCGCCGCCGCTTCCACCGCCGCCTCCACCGCCACCGCCGCCACCGCCGCCGCCCACCGACAGATCCATGACACCCTCTGGCGTCAGACTCTGCGGATGCGTCTGCGGCGGCGGAGGCGGCGGCGGCGGCGGGGGAGGAGGCGGAGGAGGCGGCGGCGGCGGAGGCGGCGGCGCCGGCGGCGGGAGACTGCGCGGCGCGACGCGCCCACTGTCGCGCCGGATCGCGCACCGCGTACCGGATCACGTCTGCGTTGGCACAGTAGCGGCTCGGCGCCGGCGCAGTGACGGCGTAGCGCCCGTCGGACGCCACGTAGCGCGGCGGAGAGTCGTCACCGCCGGGGTAGCCGAGCGCGTGCAGCGGCTCTCTGCCGATCAGGCGCGGCGAAGGCTCACCTGCCACGTCGAACGCCTGGCGCTTGTTGCTGTCCGAGTGGTCTTGCGTCACCGCCAGTCGCTTGGGCGTGCCTGCAGGCCGACGACGGTGTCAGAGCGTCAGAGCAGGGTCTGCGATCCGCGCCAGGCGAGATCGCATCGGTCGGGGGGGGGGGGGGGGCAGAGAGAGTAGGGGTGGGGGTGGGCGTTGGGGGAAGGGCTACGAGCCGCTACGGACCGTGACACACACACACAGGTCATAGGTCACAGGTCACAGGTCACAGGTCACAGGTCGCACAGGACGGACCGTTGGACATGCAGATCCGGCGAGAGGGGCGGGCGGGCGGACCATCTGTCGTCTGCGACCAGCCACAGGGGGGGGGGGGAGGGGGCGCCGATCTGACGGACCCGCCGTGGGGAGGCGCGCCTCAGTGCGCGCCACGCGTGCACCGCGCGGGCGGAGGATACGCCACAACGCGACGACGGCACTGCGTCCGCACGCCTCCGAACGCCGAGCACGGGGTGACTAGCAAGTCCGTCTCACGCGGCTGGCCTGCCTCATAGTCAACGGCGGCCCTGCGGCGCACGCGGCGCCCGACAGCGCAGCGGGACGGCCGGGTCCCGAGGCCTCCTAGCCGCCCGCTCGCAGCGCCCAGCGGACGCGATGTCGACCATCGACAGGGCGCCATCGGACAGCTACATCCAGTTATGCCCAGGGAGCACCGGGCGCCTGCTGACGGTAAAACAGTGGCGCCACAGTGGCGCCACAGTGCGTCCCAACAGTCGGCCAGTTAGGCTACGGTGGCAGCCACTGGCGGCTAAGGCTAGAGGCACTTTTGAAGCTGCGGCTATGGTTACGCGCTAAGCTGCTGCCGAGGATCCACCGAGAGCTGCTGGTGGTAAGGCGGCGTGGCCATGGTAAGATCTACCACCTGTGACGACGCTGAGGGCTACAAACGGTGAGAAGGCGTGAGCAAATGCTGGTGGAACGGTGAGAACTCGGTGAGAGGTGCTGAGAGCTAGACTACAGTTATGCCCAAAATTCCGACGGTGAGAGCTCGGGCGGTGATCGGGCGGTGAGAGCTCGGGCGGTGAGAGCTCGGGCGGCGAGAGCTCGCGCGGTGACAACTCGGGCGGTGAGAGCTCGCGCGGTGAGAGACAGAGACTACAGCGGCAGCTCGTATGATAGCGCGGGGCTAACGTGAGTTATTGAACGTGAGCTGCCAAACCCAGACACGGCTCTGACGGCGTGAGATGGTGAGAGACCACGGTGAGAACCATCACCGCTGAGACAGCGAGACTACGAAAGAGGCGACAAAGAGACAGAGACAGAGACAGCGACAGAGGGGCAGAGACAGAGACAGAGGCAGCGACAGACAGAGGCCGACAGAGACAAGACAGAGACAGAGACAGAGACAAAGGCAGAAAACAGCGCGGCTGCAGCGATGCTCGAGCAGCAAAATTCCGACGGTGAGAGTTCGGGCGGTGAGAGCTCGCGCGGTGAGAGCTCGGGCGGTGAGAGCTCGCGCGGTGAGAGCTCGGGCGGTGAGAGCCCCGCTGGTGAGGCATCTGACGGTGTGCGACTACTCACGCTGGTCACGCTCCGTGTACTGGAAGTTTTTGGGCTCGGACACACAGCCGTCCGACGGACGCTCAAGCTGGATGAAGACGCGAACGGGGCTGGGCAGGTCCTTGTTGCGGTACGGCGGCGTCCTGCAACGGCAGACGTGGGTCAGCTGCGGCTTAGCTGTGGGTCACGTGTGGGTCAGTTGTGGGTCAGTTGTGGGTCAGTTGTGGGTCACGTGTGGGTCAGTTGTGGGTCAGCTGTGGGACAGCTGTGGGTCAGGTGCCGGTCAGTTGTGGGTCAGTTGTGGGTCAGTTGTGGGTCGCGTGTGGGTCACGCGTGGGTCAGTTGTGGGTCGGATGTAGGTCAGCCGCGGGTCGGATGTTAATCAGCCGCGGGTCGAATGTGTCTTGAGTCATCGGTTAGATCTGACTCAGGTGTACACAAGATGCGGGTCAGATGTAGGTCAGACGCTGGTCAGCTAAGGCGTGAGACAGCGGGCGGATGTGGGTCAGATGTAATACAAATGTGGATCAGGTGTGGGTAAGACGTGGGCGGACGTGGGTATTCGTTGGTTCGAGTTCATCGGAGCGGGTTTTCAGAGGGCCCGGGCGGGGTCTAAGGGGATCAGAACACCTTTCGTGGAGGTCTAGGCTGGGTCCTTATCCCTCGCAAAAAGGAAAATGGAGACACAGATGCGTTGATATCCCGGCAACATGCCTTTATCGAAACAATAGCAGAAGTGTGGTCCAAAGTAGACCATACCACCTCTGCTATTAGTTCCGATAAAGGCATGCCGCCCGAAAATAGGAAGAAGGCTATTAGTACTGTCTTATCTATGCACATTATGTTCCTCGCGAGCGCTCTCAACAACTAGTTTTTTTAAATTAGGTGACAGCAAAAGATCATTTCTAGAAATGGCTTGGATAGGAGTCCCAAATCCATTATGAGGGCCCGAAGTTTGGATGCCCCCTCCCCCGCACCCACCCACCGCGCCTCCCTTAGAAGCAGTCTGTCACGTCGCCCCCGCCCCCCCCCCCCCGGCAATCGGCGCCAACGCGTGTGTGTTCAGCGACGCGCTATCTCAGCTGGTCTCCTCAGCACGCTATCTATATCAAGCCCGCGGCGTGCGCGCGACTACAACATGAGCGTGTGAGCCGGGCCGCGTTCCGAGCAACCCAGCGGCGGTTCCGAGCGGGACCCCTCTGAGACGAGATCGCCACCGGCGGTTCCGAGCGGGACCCCTCTGAGACGAGATCGCCACCGGCGGTTCCGAGCGGGATCCCTCTGAGACGAGATCGCCACCGGCGGTTCCGAGCGGGACCCCTCTGAGACGAGATCGCCACCGGCGGTTCCGAGCGGGATCCCTCTGAGACGAGATCGCCACCGGCGGTTCCGAGCGGGACCCATCTGAGACGAGATCGCCACCGGCGGTTCCGAGCGGGACCCCTCTGAGACGAGATCGCCACCGGTGGTCCCGACCGGGCCCTCTCCGAGACGAGATCGCCACCGGCGGTCCCGAGCGGGCCCCATCTGAGACGAGATCGCCGCCGACGGCCGGGCGGCGCCACTCACTGGAAGATGATCGCGTACTGGTGGTGGCACTTGATCACCCGCCCGTAGTCGCACCAGATCTCGCAGTGCTCTTCGTTCTCCTCGTACACACGCACTTTGATGTCGTCTGACGGGACACAAGCGGCGGCACGTTACCTTGGTGGGGAACACGTGGGAGCAGCTGCTGGTGGCCAGCTCCGCCAGTGTCAGTGTCAGGCAGGCAGCAAGCGGTCTAGCAGGCACGTGAATGATCACTGTCAGCACTGATCTCGCTAGAATTGTCCGCACTGATCTCGCTAGAACTGTCCGCACTGATCTCGCTAGAACCTGCATCAAAAGCCAATCTGGTGAGGACGAGAAGCGTATCCATCATTCAATGCATGGTACGCTTCCGGATCATCACAAAAAAGACGACTTCAGTGACTTGTTCTTTTTCTCCAACACTTTTTTAACACGAAATGCGCTTAGCTTATCCATCAAAATGATGAACACATCAAACTAGTGCAACATTGCGGTGCTTGCAGTCAAACGAACCATAATGGTGATTAGCACGCGCTCGAGAAGCCGAATAAATGCAATGCGCTCGGGTGGAGATGGGGGTCAATTTGACCCCATGCGATCTCAACGTAAGCGACGCAGCAGCACAGGACCGACGCAACAGTTTTGCTCTGCTTCACTTCCCGGAGCCAATCAGCGTACGTTGCCATAGAAACGGGATGGCGGCGTCTGACGTCAACACCGACGCAGGACCGATATTGGCTTTCGCTGGCCACGCGGAGTGCGTCATACATATTCTCATCTTCAGGCTGCGACCGTCCCTACGACGCAGCAACCGTGCGGTCATCTACGGGACGGAACTCAGAGAAATTACAAACCTGTCTGGTGAGAAACGACGGTGGTGCTCCGCTTACAAACGCATTCAAAAGCCTTCAACGATGTGTCTTTCCAATATGTCGAACACGCTACGATGTGTAAGACCACCATGTTCATCTACATGTGACAATTCTTCAGGCCGGCGGGTCTAGTCAGGGGGGGGGGGGGCTTATACCAAAAGTGAACTTAACACGCGAGTGATGGGGCTGGGTCAGTGTCGCAGCGACTACACCAATTTTCGACGGAACTAACCTGTTTTCGCATTTCGTCATTGAAATTTATTCATCACGATTCAGCATCACGACCATTCCAGCACCGCTGTCATGCCGCTGATGTGCCTTTCTGAGCTCCCCCTTCCCGTGCGTGAGTCTCCACAAAAGTCATGGGTCCCTTACGCTACAGCGATAAGCGGCGTCCTACCACACAACATACCCAAAGCCATCGTTATCAGAAACCCCCACTACTGCTTGCGCGGAGCCTTACACCCTGCCTGACGCACGTGCATTGGCAGCCACCCTCCGGTACAGGGTCAGCTATGTCCTCAACCCGAGATGCCCCACCCGCCAAGAGGGGTGACGTTTGGCTGCTTGAGGACACGCACGCCCTATCTGTGATAAGGGTGAGGGACTCACTTTTTCGGACACGCTCCACCAGAAGCCAGATCTCCTTGTTGCCGGTGCAGGGACTGTACGCCTCCGACAGCTGGACGATCTTCAGCTCACCCGTCTGCGCCGACTCTGCCGGGTCATGGGTCAGGTCAGATCAGGTCAGGTCAGGTCAGCTCAGGTTAGAGGTCGGATGTCAGGGGCGAACTAAGGCCGGGCAATTGGTCAGAAATGGGAAGCTGGGAGTCAGAGCATCTGTCAAATCAGGGGCAGGTCACAGGTTGCGGGTCAGACCCAAGTCAGACCAGATCATGGGTCAGATGTCAGGAACCAGGTCAGAATTAGAAGTAAGGGAATAGGTGTTAGATATAAGGCGTCAGATATTAGGTTCAGATATTACGTGTCAGATATTAGGTGTCAGATATACGGTGACCGATGTCAGATATTCGGCGCCAAATAGTGGATGTCAGATATTAGGTGTCAGAAGTCAGAGATCAGACGAGAGTCCAACCAAGGTGTGCGTCTCGTGACCAGACCTCTGGCTTGATCTCCGACTTCGTCTGGTCGGGAGACGCGCACCTCGGCTGGAGCGACAAGCCGGGTCCATATGACGCCTTTGGTCCACAGGCCAACACAGCATCGGTCCGGCAACGCCACTCACATGACCCTTGACACGTTCACCGCTAATGACCCAGCGGTGATCCGTCAAGCCGTGATCCCGTATTCCGTGATCCCGATCCATCCTGCCGTGATCCCATATCCCGTGATCCCGATCCGTCCTGCCGTGTTCCCGTATCGCGTGATCTCGATCCATCTCGCTGAGATCCCTTATCACGTGATCCCGATCCATCCTGCCGTGATCCCATATCCCGGGATCCGATCCGTCCTGCCGTGATCCCGTATCCCGTGATCCCGATCCATCCTGCCCTGATCCCGTATATCATGATCCCGATCCACCCTGCCGCGATCCCATATCCCGGGATCCTGATCCGTCCTGCCGTGATCCCGTATCTCATGATCTCGATCCATCCCGCTGTGATACCTTATCACGTGATCCCGATCCATCCTGCCATGATCCTATACCCCGTGATCCCGATCCATCCTGCCGCGGTCCCGCACCCCGGAGGTGAGCCGTTCGGTGAGCACACGGCGACCTCAGTCACCCCGCCCTTCTCCAAAGCTGGCCAGCTGCTGCCAACCTGCGCCAACCCCATCTGCCCCGCACTGCCCCGCCCTCGGCCTAGGTCCACGGTGGCGTGCAGTATACGCGTGCAACCCACGGTGGCGTGCCACTATATATCTCAAGATGTCTGGGGTGAACATTGGTAGTCTGTCGCCTTCTGTGACACACCCATTCTCGCAACACCCCCCCCCCCCCCCCCCGTGTCGTCTTCAGAACCACCACCCCTTCTCGCAACACGCCCCCCCCCGGGTCGTCTTCAAAAGCATGGCCCCTTCTCGCACCCACCCCTGCGTCGCCTTCACAAGTGCCGCCCCTTCTCGCACCCCCCCCCCCCCCCCTGCCCCCGCGTCGTCTTCAGAAGCATCTTCTGAAGACGACGCCCCTTCTGCCCCTTCTTAAGCGACGCGCCCCTGCCGCGCACTCACTGCCGTTGTAGATGGCGTCGCTGAAGACGGGCGCACAGATCTCCTCATACTCCATGGTGTGCGGGTTCTGAAACAGCGCTCTGAACCGCAGGCACACCCGGTTCATGTTGATTCGCTGCGACTCCTGCGTGGCCTGCTCCTGCGCCTGAAACGGCCGGCTCGCTGTCAGAGGCTGGACCGGCGCATCTGTGACAGAGGCTGGATTAGCGATGCGCTGGGTGTCGACCAATAGAATGCTAAAATATGACGGTACGGTTTTATCCAGACTTGACTGACGCATGACAAGTGACACCGCCTTCAGCAAGCCACCGGAATGCGACCAGGTATCCAGTGCTCTGGCCTGGCTCTAGTCTGTTGGAAACTGGGCCTGAAAATCTCAACCCTGTCCCAAACCGCTACACAGGAGGCATGCCATGAAAAGGATGCTGCTCGTTTCAACTCAGGTGTAGCTGTGACTACGAGTTTGTGGGGCCTAGCGCTTCCCGACCGTGTAACACTTTCCACGGCACTTCCAATATGGCGATCATGCATGCCACAAGCGTCCAGAAGCCAGACCAACACACGCATTTCTAGCGCCAGTGCGCATGCGTCCCGCCACGACCGTAACCGCACAACCACAGGATACATGAACGCACACATCGACTGACCGTTAACACTGGCAGACGACAGCCAGAAACCGAACTGAAAGAGTCTTGGCATTTGACCATGGTCAGGAGTTCATTGTAGCGGTCTGAAGTCATGTCGCAAAACTTGCAAGGAATCCCCAAACCTTTGCATGCCAGCACGCCAGATTTTCAATTGCGATTTTCACCAAAACGAACCTCCATCTTGTCCACCTCGCTGGGCGTCCACAGCTTCCCCAGGTTTGTTCTCTCCACCAGCCTCTTACGCTCGTCCAGCTTGCGTCGCATGATCTTCTCCACCATCTGTTTCTTGGCCGTGTGGATGATGCCCAGGCCCTGGAAGCTGCCGGGAAACACGTGGTTAAGCCAGGCTCGGACGCCAGCTGGCTACGGCCGTTGTCTTCAGCGCACCACCCTCACCACTCCCACACACATCACTCCCACCATTCGGCAACCATTCGTGGCCCCTTCTCGCCACTCCGAGACCCTTTCCCATCATCACATGGACCTTTCTCACCACTCCGTGACCCCTTATCACCACTCCGCCGCCCAGCCCACTTCTAACCATCTCGCACGCTCACGCTTGGCACGCTCTTTCGCGTGGCAGCGGCACCTTCTCACCATTCCGTGGCCCCTTTAGGCACCGCCCCGCGGCACCTTCTCACCTGGCAGTGTACTCGTTGTCGGCACCGAC